TTATTATTATTATTATTATTAATGATATTGTTATTGTTATTATTATTATTATAATGGTTATTATTATCACTGTTATTAATTATTATTGTTGTTATCATCATTATTGGTATTGTTATTAATGTCAATAGTAGTAATATTTTTGCTATTGATGGTAGTAATTGTCTTGTCATCATTAGTATTGTTATTGTTATTATTATTGTTGTTATTATTGTTATGATTGATATTATCATTATTACTATTATTCTTATTCTTATTATTGTTATTATTATTATTATTATTATTATTATTATTATTATTATTATTATTATTATTATTATTATTATTATTATTATTATTATTATTATTTATTATTATTATTATTATTGTTATTGTTATTGTTATTGTTATTTTATTGTTATTGTTATTGTTATTGTTATTGTTATTGTTATTGTTATTATTATCAATGTAATTAGTAGCAGTATTATTGTTATTGATGTTGACATTATTGCTATCATTATAGCTATTGGTTATTTTATTGTTATTATTATTACCAATGTTATTGTTGTTTCTATTGTTGTTACTATTAGGAGTAGTAGTAGTAAAATTGTTTTTATTATTATTATTATTATTATTATTATTATCGTACTTATTATTATGTTATTGCTATCATCAGTTGTCATTTATAATAAATTGTCATGATTATGATTATTGTTATTATTAGTAGTAGTGGTAATAATAGAGACATTAGTAGTTTTAGTACTGGTGTCATAAGAAAAAAGCAAGTACAAATGCTTGTACTGCTACTACTGTAACTAATATATATATATATATATATATATATATATATATATATATATATATATATATATATATAATATATATATATATATATATATATATATATATATATATATATATATATATATATATATATATATATATATATATATATATATATATTATTTAAATTATTATTATATCATCAAAAATGTTGAATTGGTTTAATTTAGACTGTTATGATTAACAGTTGTTTTGTTTTATTATATTTTTCTTTATACTTGATATGGATGGTTTTTCATTCTATTGCAAATTTGTATGATGGTGTTCATAGATGATTGGTTATTGCAACAGTCTTTGATATGTAGTCTGTGGAAAATCAAATACATAATACAATGCATTATGTCTCAATCTCAGTCTCAATAATAATGCGCAGGGCGCTAATGAGCGCATAACACGCATACTCCGTTTTCTTGTCAAAGCAAAGATGCACTTGAGTTGTGAGGTGAAAATTGGCTGAATGCAGCATGTTGTATTTCACATGATTAGCGTCACAATCTGTCAGTTATCAAATGATTATCATCGCCAATGTAGCCTGTCGTCAGTCGTCACGTATCTGTGAAACATGTCTTCGCTTTGACCAAAAAAGCTGAGTATAGTCGTCTAGCCTTTGCACATAAAATCTAGAGCATTTTTGTTCAAAAGAATAGTTATTATTCCAGTTTTTCAGGATTGATAGGATCAAGAAAGCAAGTTGATGGCTAAATGGCAGACAATAGAGCTTTAAGCCTTAAAGTTTTTGAGATTCTTTAGTACTTGTTTATTTTATGTTTAGTGTTTTTTCTTGTGCATAGATTTGCAAATTTGTGAAATGATACAGCAAGCTTGTGACTGTAAAATAGAAAACACATAATATGTTATTATAAGATAGATTATGCAGTCTTACAGAAAACTTATGAGAGCTATTGAAGATAATTGTGTTAAGATCTAATTTACTGGACTGATTTTAGATACTTTGTAGTAAGACAGTGCTCTTAAACGTGATTTGATATTTCTCTTTTATTTTAGCATGGGTAAGTCTATAAGGGCATTCATTTTGAACTGTTTCTTGTGACTAAAGAGTATAGTGTAGATGTTATTTTCATTGCATTTCCCAACCGCAAAAAGAAACTTGTTCTTTAACCTTTAGCCTTAGTGTCTAAAATCAATATTTTCTAGGATGGGCCAAGGACCTTTTGTGAATCTTTCATTACTGAGAGTGAGTGTCTTGAAAGTATTTTCAATCACATTCCATCCTATTCAGCTTATAAGTGTTATTTTTACGTTCAGCATTATTAAACTTCTCTAAGATGTTTTGGTTGATGAAAAATTTCTCTTGAGAATATTGATGCTTAGCTTTACATATTTCATGTTTTCTTTTTTCATGATAAAAGCTATGTCAACTGTTCTTTGATGTTCTTACTGTTATTAGAATATGTGATTAGGATCCCTGATATGATTGCAATGATATGAATTATAAAGGAAATAAAGATAGCTCCACCAAAAAAGTGAGATGAATTCTGTGAATATATGATCCAATTAAAGTCAGATTTTAATTACCATATGCAAATAAGAATTAATAAGTTCTCATATCATTACCTTGGGAAGGGCAACTTGGGCCAGACACCTGCCTTTTCCAGTGTGGTAAGGTCACATCTAAGCCAGTATAAGGTAGTACAGTTCATCTGTGTTCTTACCTATTTTT